CTTTGCAGGCGGGGTGCTCCCCATCCATAGAAGTGAGTTATGCTTGTTCAAGTGGTGCATCTTATGAATCTTGTTAAGCTCTGCTGCCTTATAGCCCCACTGATGGAATATTTAATCACTGAAATGAGTTGGCAGATATGATTAACAGTGTGTGTGAGCTCTGTAGCCATCTTACCAGCAACTAAGAAATGGAAGAATTTGCCATTTGTCAGCACCATGTCGACAACTGTGTATAGCCTTCTGTTATTTATTTTAATTTTGTTTCACTTACGTGTGAAGATTAAAAGTGCTCTCCATCAACAGTTTTGTTGGCTTGATATCTTGATTATCCCTTAAGGATATAATTTTTTTTTTAATCTTTTTATTAGATGACAAAGGGAACTTGTCACAATGACAGGGAAAGTGTAAGAACCCCGTTGAGGTGTCCTCTTAAAAGTCCTATTTCTAATTATACTAAGTAACTTGAGAAATGCTACTGGCAATGGGCTTCTCAGGTGGTGCTAATGGTAAAGAACCTACCTGCCAATTCGTGAGACTCAGGTTTGATCCCTGAGTCGGGTAGATGCCCTGGAGGAGGGCATGGAAACCCACTCCAGTATTCTTGCCTGGAGAATCCCATGGACAGAGGAGCCCGGGGGCTACATCCCTAGGGTTTCATAGAGTCAGACACAACTGAAAAGACTTAGCCTGCACACACTGGCAATAGATATTTGCAGATATTCTACTTCTATTTAGTGCCTTCAATTTTATTTTGACTCTAAAATGGAATGCCCATAGAAGCTGACTGAAGTCTTTGAAACTCACCTGGGCATTTTTTTTTTCTATTGACTTATCAATCATTTGTCATGAGAATATGCCTCAAGGAGTCTGAAGATCATTAGGCTTAGAAAAAAATCATCACTGCTGCTGTTTAGTTTTTATAGGAAAACACCCACTTGTCTTTGGAGGAGATTTATATATGTTCATAGAATATGCTGATTTAGGTATATCTGCTTCTGGAGACTGGTACTGGATAAGCATTTAAAAGAGTCCTTGCAGGCATAACTTGATGAGAGTTCAGAAAAACCACCCCCAGTGAAAGACCTTTCATAACAGGTTTCTAAATGGTTCCCCTGGAACGTGTGTGTGAGGGAGAGTGTGTGTCATAATTTATCAAAGCAAATTAATACTGTTCAGCTAGTAATTAAAGATCCTCATTAAGAGGTGTAACTGTTCTCCCTACCCCCACCCGACATTAGCAATAAAAATGCACTCAGGGCGTCAAGAGGATATAGACGAAAATCAATAACCTGCCATTTTATAATTAAAGAGAAAATAAATGTTAGGGAAAAGTCCACTAAATTAGGAAAATTACCTTAAGGAGAAATTGAAAATATTGATTTTAATTTACAAAATATGTGGACTTTTCCTGCCCCATTCTGGGAGACAATTGGAGGCTGGGTTGTTAATTCTGCATAAGCTTCAGAAAATCAATGATTATACTATGGGGATATGGTGATCTTTGTCATTAATGCAAAAATCTTATATATAGAAATGACTAATAAAATAAGGCTGGTTCTCTATCTCAGGTAGATACAGTGCTGACCTGTGAAATACACACAGCAAATCAATGACATGGTCTTCATTTCAGCTCTGGGGCACATTCAAAATTCCAAGATAAATCCTGACTATTTTTATACTTGGGGAAATTTCGAATGCCCCCTAGATTCTTAGTCATGGGTATTTAAACGGCTAACATAAGGCATTATACCTGGTTATGGAAATGAATACGTTCTACAGCTCTGTTTTGCATATATGCATTCCTCACACACAGGTGCCTGAAATTTCAAATGGAGGCTAGCAGGATTCTCAGGGTTTATGGGTCTTCAAGTATTTCAAAGGAATTGTTCTAGAGTGTTGAGTTTGCAGCAACATTTTCCCAGATTTCTGAATATCATGAACTCTGGCAACCCACTCCAGTATCCTTGCCTGGAGAATCCCATGGACAGAGGAGCCTGGCAGGCTACAGTCCATGGGGTCACAAAGAGTCGGGCACGACTGAGCACTCACGGACACCGTCTACCTTCACAGACAAACGTACAGGCAAAAAGAGACAGCCTCTGGTTATGAAGGATGGCCCAGATACTGGCCACACCAAACAAAAGTATTCAGATTTCTCAAGTGACATTTACTCATCTGTCACCCCCTGCCTCCTTTTTTTTAAGATTCAAGTTTACTGGAGCAGCCCATAGAAATAATAATTCAGTTTTCCAGGCTCCTGAAAACTTCCCCTGACACAATCAGTTAATACATCTAAATGTGATGGTGGATTCCCTGGAGGAGGAAACGGCAACCCACTGCAGTACTGTTGCCTGGAGAATCCCATGGACAGAAGAGCCTGGCGGGCCACAGTCCACGGGCTGCAAACAGCTGGACACAAGTGAGCGACTGAGCGCAAGCAGCAAGCGTGGTGCGTGGAATAATCCAAAACGATCGTTTCATTTCTCTCTTTAATTTGACTTATTTGGACAGAGTAGTAACGTGATCTACTATCAGAAGGCATGCTCAGGAAGAACGATGACTTCCAACATTCGTAAAAAACAAAGCAGAATAAGCTGGTTGCAAAGAACACAGGCTCTTCACTTCAATTTTAGCCAGCTTCTTACCAGCTGTGAAATCTTAATCCCGTGATGCAAACCCTTTGGACTTTAGTTGCTACATTTGGAAAACTGCTGTGAGGATTCAAATACATTAATTTAGGTAAAGTACTTAAAACAGTGCCTGACCAAAAAATACTCAGTCAATAGTAATCCTTCTAATAACTGATTCTTTCCCTAAAGTCCAGTGATCTGACTTTTGAGGCTGGGCCCAGGGCTCATTTCAATGGCTGCTTTAATGCTCTAATAAGAGTTATGCAGATCCATTTATTCTTGTATGTGTAAGTCATTCTGGATGGTTTCTTTTGACAACCTCTTGGATACTCACATACATGCAAAGAGGTTTGAAATCACTTGTAAGGGAGATATTTGGTGCTTTCCTGGTTTCATGAGCCAAAGGTGAACAGTAATTATACTGCATGGGGCTGAAAAAATGCACTTTCTTCTCTCTGACTCAACTCACACATTCATACTCTACCTCCTCAAAGGACAGTGTCAAGCTTTCTGTTCTTGATCTCATTATTTTGGGGGGAAGACATGCACATTGGCACACACACACAGAAAATCTGCCACCTTTCTATTCTAGCAGCTCCATCTCACCGGGCACCACCTGCGAATATACAGAAGCTGCTTTCCAACTTCCTCCTTGTCCTTTCAGGAGATTTCATTTCTTTGAAGCTTTGGACAACCCCAGCAATGTCTGTGCCCCTGGATTGGATACCCTAAGCCCTGAAGCACTAGTCCTCTCTCACATTGAGAAGTGAATCTTTTAGTCTAGTGGGTCACCCAGAATTCAGCAGAATCAGCTCTCAGTTAACTTTCCCCTATGGCAGAGAGGTGGGGCATTAACTTATTTATCTGTATTTCCCCAACATTTATATGGTGCTAATTATGCACCAATACTCTTCATATATCAACCCACGTAATTCTTATAAATACCTGTGAGTTTCTTACTACCACCACCTCCCACGGAACAGATGAAGACACTGAGGCACAGAGAGGTTAAGCAACTTGTCTAGTCACACAGCTGGTAAGCAGAGAAACCAGGCTTCCCATCCCAGGGTGCCTGAGAGTGACATCCACATTCCTTACTCTGCTATGTGTCCTCTTGGGAAGTGAATTCCACCACATAACCATGGAAAGTCTCAAAGCGAGGTCCCTCCCCCTCTCCCCCCATAAGAGTCAGCCCAACTATTTCACTATTAGAGTCTCTTGATGTAGCCCAGGCTTGTAATAAAATTCACACATGAAGAACAACTCCGAACACTGTCTATCTAAAATCTGGAACTCAGCTATCAAATCAGGCCTTTCCAGACTTACCATCTTTTAAAATCAAGTTGGTTTTTGTGCTCGAGCAGCTATCAAAGTTTCCTATACCCCTTTGTCATCCACTAAGGTCAGTGTGGACTTTCAGGAAAATGAACGATGCAGAGCATCTCAGAACAGACAAAACAAGGTGAGTGGCTTACCATCAAGAGATTACATAGGAGTGGATACAGACCAATGGGTCATTGATTTCTCCTTATTAAAAAGCAAGGGCCACATTGAAGCAAGACTTCTTCTCAACCTCCACATGGCAAATCTACTAAGGTTGATTAGGTTGAACATCCCAGATGTTCAATGCAGCTTTGCTCATGAGCAGGAAAAATAACTGGTAGAAGTTAACAGGCAAAGCCGAGCAAAAAAATGAAAAACCAGTCTCAGCTGTTGTTGCTTCCAGGTTACTCTCCCTAAATTGGATGACCAAGTTTTCTGGGACAGTGGATTTGAGTGGTAGTTGGTGGGTGGCAAGGAAGGGACGAGGAGAAAGATATAGACCCTTGAAGGCAAAGCAGAGAGAAAGGGAACCACTATGGAACACTGATTAATGGAGAAAGAAGGAGAACTTAACTTTTCTAGTTTTCTAAATAATTCTCTTTGCAATTCCAACTCACTGCCACATGATTGGGATAATTAATCCAATTCTCTGCTTTGCCAAGGGAAAAAAAAAAATGCAACTCCAAATGGAAAGGTATGGCTGAAAAACACATTCAGGCACATTGAAAGAAAACCTGCATGAACAGCCATCCATTTGTTCAAAGGCTTTTGAACAAAATCTCAATGCTTTTTTTGAGGCAAAATCTATGTGAAACATCACAAGGGGCCATGGCCTCATGATTATATCACAATGTAATTTACATGATTCCCCTCTATCTTTTTTACAATTTTTTGAAAACTTTTGGTTTTGCCTTAAAAAAATCATTCAGAACTTGGGAGGACAGGAATTTTTTGGTTCAGATTATTTGATGAAACCCACTCTTTATGGGCAGGCAAAGCACATTTAGAAAAGACAAAGAAAACATCATGCAAAGAGAAACTCTTTACCTGCATAGAATTCAGGACTGTACACTGCACCCACAACTGGATTCAATTTCCAGCCTTAAAACAAATACACAAAAATGTTATCACATTTGATTCAACAACTCATATCATTGCAAGTTAACCACAAGTCAAATGGGTTGGCGTATTTTTTTTTTAATGGATTTATGGCCTTCTTTGATTTTCTGCCTACACACGTTAACAGCACAGAAACTACTGACCAGCTACAGATGAAACTTTTGAAAAGGATATGGTAATTGATTCTGTCCCATATCCATATTGTCTAGAGCCCCTATAATAACTTGTTCTTCTTTCATGTATCGCTGCTAGACAATGCACCACATCTCTTTGTGCTAAGTTTGCAAAATTTTGGAAGCTCACGTAAAACGGAATTCTTTTAGAAACATTCTGCAGTTCAGTTCAGTTCAGTAGCTCAGTCATGTCCGACTCTTTGTGACCCCGTGGACTGTGGCCACTGAGGAAGACAGATAAAGTAAGTCATGAACAAGTTCCATTCTGAGAGCATGTGCGTAAGTCCAATTTGTTTGTAAGTCCAACAAAGTCAGCTTAGATACACAACTGACACAATTGACTATATAGGTTTATAATACTTTGCACACAAAGAACCCATAAAAACAAAAAATAAAGAAGACATTTTTAATCTTACACCTTGTAAAAGTACCTTGAAAAGGACAGTAGTGTAATGGCTGGCATCCAGGGGCTGGCATCAAAGGAACAGGCAAGAAGAGAAGGGAGAGGAGGTTGGAGACGGCAGAACTGAAGGATCGTCAGCAATAGGAGATGGAGGGCGAGCTGCAATCTCATTCATGCCGGATGCTGATGGAATGCATCTATCGTCTATCTGTCCGTCCATCCATTCATCTATCCATCTGTATCATTTCTGTTATCTATCTTTTGATTGATGAATCAACCTATCAGCTCTTATCAAAGCTGACCTGATGTTTTCTTAGGCATGCAGCTTCCTGGCACTATCTATCTACCAATGATCTACCAGTTTACTAAGTCTCCCTACAGAAAACTTTCAATTAATATAAACATGAGAGAAACAAAACAACACTCTCCCTCCTCAGGAAATCCATGCCATCTCACAGTCACAGCATTAATTGAGAGAGATAACTGATCAGGTCTCCTCTACAAGAAGCCAACTAGGATCTGTGAGCAGCAAATCCAATGAGACTGCTCAGGTAGCCTGGAAACATCAGAAGAGGGTTTTCCCCTCTTCCCATCACTGGTTCTGTCTCTTATATGAGGCTACTCTATTCCCACTGGAGGAGAAACAAAGGCATTTCTGAACCACACCTCAGGCATGGAAACCTAACTTCTCATTTCCCTCCTCCCTCTGAAGTGGATTTCTCACCAAGACATCCCCCTTCAGCAAATGGCATCTCCATCTGCTTTGTTCCTGAAAACAAAATTCTTGATCAATAATGCCTTGATGCTCCCTTAATCCTCACATATCCTGTACCATCCATTAAAAAATCCTATAGGTTAGACTTTGAAAAGGGGTTTCTACTCTCTCTATATCCCTGTCTTACCAATGCCACCATGCTAGCCTAGACATTTCTATTTCTTAAGCACGTGGCAACAAACTCCTAACTCTCACCATCTTATCTTACTCTTTTTATAGTGGCCAGACCAGTTTTTAAGAAGTCAATCAGGCATGTCATACTGCCACTCAAATTCAGTAGCTTCCTGCTGTACAAAGAACGCAAATTCTTTACCTTGGCCTGTAAATCCACACAATCTAATCCCAGTCCATTTATTTGGTACCACTGCTACCCTCCCTCCAATCTATGGTGATACTGGCCTTTTAAATCTTTTCAAAAGAACCAAAGATCCTTCTAGATCAGTCTAGAGCATTCTGATTGTAACCACTGCTTGATCTGCTTGGACAAATATGCCCAGTCCTCAAAGTTTACCAGCTATGACAGCATATTGAAAAGCAAAGACATCACTTTGCCAAAAAAGTTCTGTCTAGTCAAAGCTATGGTTTTTCCAGCAGTCATGAACGAATGTGAGAATTGGACCACAAAGAAGGCTGAGCATGGAAGAGCTGATGCCTTCGAAATGTGGTGCTGGAGAAAACTCTAGAAAGTCCCTTGGACTGCAAGGAGATCAAACCAGTCAATCCTAAAGGAAATCAACCCTGGATATTCATTGGAAGGACTGAAGCTGAAGCTCCAATACTTTGGCCACTTGATGCGAAGAGTCAACTCATTGGAGAAGACCCTGATGCTGGGAAAAATTGAAGGCAAGAGGAGAAGGGGGTGACAGAGGATGAAATAATTGGACAGCATCACCGACTCAATGGAAGAGTTTGTGCAAACTCTGGAAGACAGTGAAGGACAGGGAAGCCCGGCATGCTGCGGTCCATGGGTTGTAAAGAGTCAGACTCAACTGGGCAACTGAACAACAACATCTTCTCCAGGGCAGGCTGCCTAATGTCTCTCCCTTCCCTACTCTTAAGGTGGTTCACTAGTGCGATTCCCAGCTTTGTTTTCTGCAAAGCAGTTAACACTGCCTAGATTTATCTTTTTTCTTTCTTTGCTTGTTCTTAATTGTTTTTATAACCATCCTCCCTCATTAAAATTGATGGTAAAGCGAGTGGGACTGACTGCTGTCCGAGGTGAATTCCCAACATATAAAACTGTGTTTGGCTCCATAAATATTTACTTAGTTTTGCTCTAAAGGAACTGAAAGAATAAAGAGCTTTTTTCTAATGGACTCATTCCTTTTGGCTATGCTCTCCTTCCAACCATCGATGACCTGCTTCCTTATACACACCTACAAAAAAGGGGGGCACCATTAGGGGTGACTATCTTCAAGGGAAAGGCAATAAGAATCCAGCCCTTGAAAATCACCTCTGCTCAGACTTAACAGGGCTCTTGCAGGCTTATGTAAATGCATGCAAATCACATACAAATGGTCTCTTAGTCCCTTCGACTCCTTCTGCTACCTGGAAGGGACCCTTGGGATCACCCTGCTGGAGATAGGAGCCTGCACTGTCAGGAAGACAGACAAAATGATCCCAGTTTTAATTTCCAAAGCAGTTTGTGTTTGTCCCCAGGCCTCGCGAATTCAGAGATTTTGATCAAGGACATTAAACCGAACAATGAGGCTTACAGCAAAGGGAGAATTGCTGATAAAGCCCATGGCTCCCAGCCTCCCAGAGCCCCCAGACAAGAAGGCGATGGAGCAAGACACCAGACACACGGGGGTCTCACTCCACATCAGACATAAGAGCTGTTTAGAGGGACCCCTCTGCGGCCCAGCCTCAAGGGGCTGCCTCCAAATCAGTGCTCCCCTTCTTAAATTCAGCTTCTTCAAGTTCACCTGCCAGCCTTCTGCAGAAAACACTGACCGAGGTCCTCAGTGTTAACTATGGCTGCATTGGGTGTTAAAAGACAGGTCTGACTGTGCACACAAACAAATCGACACATGTCTTCTCCAGGGCTTTACGAAGTTGGATCTTAAGGAAAACACATTCAAGAAAGCGCCCTTAAATGTCTGACAGGGGTTTCCAAAACTGTCCCGAGGCTTTCTAAACTCATGTACTGCAGATGCCAGGAGTCTGGTATTTGAAATGCTGCAGCAGGCAATGCCCAAAATGAAAAGCCATTTGCACACTGCATCCGGGTCACTCAGCAGTTTTTTCTTTTTTTGAAGTGCATGCTTATTGTCAACATTGAAATTTCATCTATGATACAAGACTTCTGCTTCTCTTCAAATATGAGCAGAAATGGCAACTTTAAGAATTCCCTATGGACCAATTTGCTGGGGTGACCAGGGGCCACCCCCACTTAAGCCCCCAGTTTGCCTGTTCCCTGTTACATGCTTGGCTTAGGAGCCAAAAATCAGCGATCTTTTATAGTCACCCTGTGCTGGGTTTTTTTCTGTCTAGAAGAGAAATATTTTGCTTTGCTCAGTATGAAAATGAGAGTCCAAAAAGGCTGCAAGTTTCTCAGACCTTCTCTGTTTGTTTATTTTCCCTGGTCGGCCTCTGTTGGCATCCAACTATTTGATCCTTAAACTAGTATATCTATCAGCTTACTATCACAGCAAGAAAAGGAACAAGATGGCTATTTATTATTGAGATTATTGTGTCATTACATTTTTAGGGCACTTTGTACCTGTCACTGTGCTGAGTATTTCATCTCCTCTGTGTGTGTGTGTATGTGTGAGCGTTCGTGCGCACTCCATCACTCAGTTGTGTCTGACTCTTTGTGACCCCCATGGACTGTGGCCTGCCCATCTCCTCTGTCCATAGACCTTTCCAGGCAAGAACACTGGAGTGGGTTGCCATTTCCTCCTTCAGGGGATCTTCCCCACCCCAAGGATTGAACCCGAATCTCTTTGTCTCCTATAGAGATGGGTGGATTCCTTACCACTGAGCCACCAAGGAAGCTTCATCTACCATAATAACCACAAACATCCTATATAGTAGGTCCCATTATATCTACAGGTCGCACTTGAGAAAGCTCTTCTGCAGAACGTTTCAACAGCCCCCCTGCAAGTCAATAATCCCTAAAAAACAGAGGTGATGTAAAATCCACCTTGATATAGTTTCAGCTCTTTTTGTCCAGTTTTCACCCTTCCTATGAATGCTGAGAAAATAAAAGAGCTACATCTAACACTCATGCTTCTCCAACATTGAAGAAATTCCTGGGATTATGGTTCTCCACTTGTTTTACAGAATAAATATTTGATCTCCAACGAGCACAGTAAACCCTAACTCTTCTCTGAGGCTTGATGTCCTCAGGAAAAACCGGCAATATGGAAGTAGCCCACTCAACTCCCTCGTGATGGAGCTTTCAGATCGGGAGGGTTTTCCAGACTCTTCTATGTCATTCTACAGTCTTTTACAGGCAAGCTCAAAGGTCCTGGGAAATGGAATCTACATCCTCCACAATATTATTAACTGTGGTCCTTTACAGCAGGGAGTCTTAGCTATGTGTCTGATCGTGTTTCGGATCCTATCTTACTCATCACTGGAAATTTTGCAGCTGCTTAACATTTTGTTGGATGATTCACTGATATCCTAAAGGAATGCATGAATGTGATGATGGCACTGATAGTTAGATTCTTTTCCATTTGAGGATGACCTCAAAATTCGATGACTTGAGTAATCCGTAATTTTGCTGAAGCCTGAGTTTGATGGTTTGTGAGAACGAATGAGGTAGCTAATGAATGAATCTCCCAAATCACTTAATTTTCTCATTTCCACATGACTTTGTTGATCCTCACTTCTCTATCCCCGCCCCCCAACTTTATTGAGGTATAATTGGTGTCTATACTGAAAGTGTACCATTTGTGGATATTCCATACACACACATTGTAAAAGTTTTTCCATAATCAAGCTAATGAACATATCCATCATCTCACACATCTACCACTTTCTTGTTTCTTTCTTTTCTGTGTGGTGATAACATTCTCTGTTAACACAGTCATGCTTGTTAAGGATCTAAGAGGGTCCCTGTCTTTCCAGGATGTTGGATTGCATTTTATGGGAAATTCTATTTGTAGTGATGGCACTCATGAATTAAGGATTGATAAAGTTTTGAGAATCCTTTACTTGAACAGTAAAATTCTTCATGATCTCCTCTACAGAAACCAACTGTCTTTATACAGTTAGGATTTTCTTTTTCTTTTCTTTTTTTTAAAGTCAATTCTACTGTGACTCTCCTTCCCCAGTTAGGTAACATACACAGTCTATGTAACAGGATAACCCTCTGAGTGTCCCCTTCCAGGTATACAGGTTAGAGATTCACGTGATTTATTTCTGGAAATTAAGAAGGCAGGGTCCGCCATAATGGGATAAGAGACACTTATGCCAACACATGGGCTTCCCAGGTGGCACAGTGGTAAAGAATCCACCTGCCAATGCAGGAGACACAGGAGATGTGGGTTTGATCTTTGAGTTGGGAAGATCCCTTGGAGTAGCAGATGGCAACCTACTCCAGTATTCTTGCTTGGAGAATTCCCTGGACAGAGAGCCTGGCCAGCTACAGTTCATGGGGGTGCAAAAGAGTTGGACATGACTGAGCAACCCAGCACTTGCCAGTGTGGCAGAGTTTTGGGGCTGCACATTGAATAATCTTTTTGTTCTTGTAGTGGAGGTCTGAGTGCAGTTCTGCAAAATGACATGTGACAGTGATGCACTTGTAACACCCAGCATGGCCACAGGATTTTGTTATGTCATAATAAAAGGAGAAGATGTCACTAATTACTTCATCTCCACTAGCATCAAATCTTACATCTTTACCACAGGAATAGCTACATCTTCTTTATAAGACACTGTGTGGGCCCGCTGCATTTAAAATGTTTAACATAATGCCATACAGTCAGTATGCCAGAAATGTTGATTATTCATTGTGGCTTGAACTGTGTTTCCAAGGACCACAGGTCCAGTTTTCAGCCACTGGGTATGACATTGATCAGTAACCCTCTCTTTAAAATAAACATGCCTACATATGGCTTAAGGAATATTTGGCTTCCTTTGTCTTATTTTCTCACATCAGCAGCACACATGAACACCTGTGCCTAGGCATGTGTGGTGCAAACACACATACACACACACACACACAATTGCTACTTCATAATTAAAGAAAATGCCCCACAGTCAGATTGGTGCCATCACATACTAACTCTGGAAAGTTGCAGAGCTATCATTTTTACCCAAGTAGAAAGACTCCATGGCACATTAAATCAGAGGTTTGCTTCATTTCAAAACTGGGCATTCAAAGCCTGTTGCAGAATTTTTCCATACTACTTCAGCTTTTGTCTTGGGTTGTTGAAAGCTGAAAAAATGGGTTAGCCAAATAAATAATTCTTCCAGTCTTTCACCTTAGAGTTCTATCACATTGAGGGGATATTTTTGTTTAACAGTGCACCTTTAACATATCAGAACAAACAAAGTAATAGCCATTGGCATAAGAAAGAAGAAAAACAAAAACAAAACTCCCAAATGATATTAGTATTGTTTATAACAGAAAAAAAAGTCAGTCAGTACGTAAGGTGGGAATAAACCCTTTGTATGGGCTTCCCTGGTGGTTCAGGCTCCTGCAGTGCAGGAGACCCGAGTTCGATCCCTGGGTCGGGAAGATCCCCTGGAGAAGGAAATGGCAACCCGCTCCAGTACTCTTGCCTGGAAAATCCCACGGACAGAGGAGCCTGGTAGGCTACAGTCCACAGGGTCACAGAGTCGGACACAACTGAGTGACTTCACTTACTTACTTATGGAATATTATGTAACCACTAGAAAGAATGAATGCAGTCTGTATGTATTTACATCAAAAGAACTCCATATTGATTTATAAAAGCCAATCAGAAATGATGTGCATACCATGACACCATTCATATAAAAATCATACACATGCCACTGCATTATAAATGTATACTTATTACACATGTACATGAGAAAGTGTAAAATAAAGATATAGATAATAATCTGCAATAGTGGCACCTTCTGAGGGGATAGGTGGGAAACCAACATGGCAGTGGTGTCATTCAAAATATATTTTAGCCTTGTCTTCCTCCCTCCCTTTCTCTCTCCCTCGCTCTCTTTTCATTTTCTAAATGTCTGTATTTTCATGTTTCATGTGTAATTAAAATGTTTAAAATGGAAAATTCCATAAATTTTTCCTTAAGACTGTAATGAAATTGTTATTTTTTTAAATCCATAAAACAGAGGAAAAATACCTTCCATTCTCACAATGCAACTCAACCATAAACATTTTGGGGGAAATGCCTACCTTAATTCAAATCACACTATACATATAATTTCTTTTATTTTAAAACTTTTCATTCATTATGAGCCCCTTTGTAGTCTTCATCCTACTCATTTTAATGAGTACTGTATCCCACAAAACTCTAACTTTAACTTACTACATTACATTCTATCTAAATTTGGTACAATTAAGCATGTGATTAGCATATGACATCTTTTCCCATCCCCCACCCCCAAGCATATATCTTAAGAGACATTCCTTCTGAGAAGGATAAAAAATCAAAATGTGTGAATATTTTAATAATTTTTCATATTTTGTAAGTCCTTATTATGAAGTGCTTTGAGACATTTTCCTCTTGAGCAAGGGCAGAAATGCATTGTCCTGAAGGGGTCTGCAATACACAGTAAACATCCTCCTTTGCCCCAGATGCCACTTCGTAACTCAGAGAGACGTGCGTAACACACTCATACATTCTGTTCTCAGTGTACCTCATCATGAGGTACCCTCCAAGGTACTTCAGAAGTCTAATAGCTCCAGAGAAGATTCAAAGCCGGAACCAAATGCTGCAGTCCCATTTCCGGGAAGGATTATTGATCACCAAGGAGGCGATGATTAAGGGAGAAACAAACAAAATATCCACCCTCCATCAACTCATTCTCATTACAATAAATTAAATTACCCATGTAATTCTCAAATGATTCCTATGTATCTCACTCCACATAGGAGTTATTCCAGAGAGAATGAAAGAAGAACATTCACTCCTCACTTGAAAACTAAATTTGCCTCTGTCATGAAATTTATCTTACTGATTCAAGTGGTTCACTGTAGCAGGTCAGCAGCAAAGACACAGTAACCATGCTGAGGCAAATGTGGCTTGTTGACACAGATTCCCCAGTTAAATTACTTAATAGACTCTGAGGTAGAGACATTTTCTTGTAAGAGGCCAAACTCTACTTACCATTTGTATAAGGGTTGACAGTCTTTTTATTTGTCATTACACGTGCTGTGGCATTATTTACCTATGTACATAGAAAACTCAAATGAGCACATATTCCAGGGCCAGTCCACAGTTCAATTAGTTGCATGCATTATGACTGTGATTACTTATTAAAAACAAAAAACAAAAACTAAAATGCATTTTAATTTATAAAAGGCAGTAGGTGCATAACAAAATCATACATTTTTATAATTACATTTACTTCATAACCATTTTAACTTAACAAATCATTTCAATAAAGCAATGTCATATCATTTAAAAGTTTAATAAGGAGACAGTAAAAGCAAATTAAAAGGAACTGCATAATTGAAGATTGAAAAGCATGCGTGTACTCCATGGTAACACAGAAACAATAAATATTTTTTTAAACATAAAATAAGGTTCATATGAAGGAACATGCAGTGGAGGAGAAGAGGGGAGAGACAAGGTACAAGGGAACATAAACGTCAAAAAAAGGACAAACAAGTTTTAGCCGTATGCAACACTTTAAGGGAGAAGAACCATTGGGGAAGCAACATCTAGCATTCAACACTTGGAACAAGAGCCTTTTACATCGCAAGAATTAACAAAATCATTCAAGCTTTAAAGTCACAGCTAACAAAAGGATAAAAGAGAGGGTGCATTGTTTAACACAATATGGAGTTAACAATCTGAGTAAGATGTGCACTGGTCATATCTCAATCCAGTCAGTGCCTCCCAGGCTAGCTTAGAACGTACACTCATTTACAGGCGTACCAATATCCAAAAAAATAGAGCATCAAGAAAACTTAATACAACAAGTCAAAAAAATTCACGTGGTATATATATGTATAGAGATATATCAGCACTAAATACGTGAAACGGCAGATGGATTTCACCACTTACCATTCACCACCATCGCCAGCATGGGTTTGTATACAGTTACCATGGTTACTGAGAGTTTGGTGAGGGGCCTAAGGATTATCGTCGAGGGTGGGGGGAAATGAAAGGCAAAATATGCAACATCTTACTCCAAAGACTAAAGCATTTTTAACTGGTATTTTTTTTTTTTTTAAGTTTTAACAAATACGACCCTATGGTCATTTTGAGGGAGAGCCAGTGGTTGAAAGAGTAGATTATGAGTATAGGAATTTCAGCGTTTATTTTTTTTTTTCCATGAAGAAGGGCCAGATATTGAACAGGAAATCCTGTTTGGTTATTCATGTTGTTAGCAAAAGAACACAAAGATTGAAAGTGTCTTCTTTAAAAGAAAAAAAAAAATGAAAGGTTTCATGACAAAGACCTCTCATTTTTTTTTCCCCCCAACAACTGTTCTCTTAAATGCTATTCATTTCACAATTTGATTTAATTTGCACACCACTGTGGATCCCTCATCAGCCCTGCAGAGGAAAGAAAAAGAAAGGAAAAGAAAAAGAAAACAAAAACAGAAAACTGCTCTATATTTTGTTTTGAAACACTCTCTCCACTGCTTGGAATCTACTGCACCCATTGGTTATAAGACATGAAAAATAAAATAAGAATTAAAAAAAAAAAAACTTTCAGATTAACCTTTCTTTTGTCTCACTTTTGCCATCCACCTTTCAGCAGTAATAAGAGTAACATAATAAAGGAAAATTAAAAAAAAAAACGTAAGGCCAGTTTTCCTTTTTATATATAAATATATATATATAAACAATGAGAAGGGAATAGGGTCACATACAAGACACAATGATGCATCTGAAACAACAAATGAGCGTGAAGCAGACACTTATCAAAAAGATGAAAAGGAAAATATTTTGGACATGCACCTCGATTTTACGGCCCTCTACCACGGTGCCGTGTAATTTCTCCCTCGCCCTGTCCGCATCGGCACTATTTTCGAAAGTTACGAAACCAAATCCCTACATGCAGGAGGGAGAAGGGAAAACAACATGCAGATTATTATTTTCAGTCAACGACCACTGCGGAACGTTCTCTCGCTTTAATTTCTATTTCTTGTCCTGGCTTCCGTTCTGTAACATGCAAATTAGAGAAATTATAAGAGTACTAAAATGTGCAATAAGTAAGCGACAAATGTGAACAAGATTTTTGTTTTCTGTCACCCGTTAGCTGTCACCCCTGAAGAAATCAAAGAATGATACCCAAAATACCTTTCTAAATGTCACTACAGAAGAAAAGAAATCTAACGGAAAGAAAATGAGATCAAAATAAATGTACAGTGTCTTCACAGAGAAGAAAATGAAATAACGAGGGAGAAAAAAAAGGGAACCACTTTCTTGACATGCAAATTAAGAAGAAAAGAAAAGAAAACGTGTGCACAAAATTCAACAATGAATGCCAGAATCTTCTAACATTGCCTACAGAGTCATGCCGTGTGGTTTTAAGACCATCTCTTCTCCATGCAGTTTTAGGGTTATTCAAATTTGTCAATTGTACAGCCTTTATGTCTCAAAAAATAAAAATTAGAAGCCTAAAAAAAAAAAAGGAAAGACCTTTTTTTTTTATAAATCTGAAACTCTTGGCACTAAATCAACAAAATAATCCCATGAAATGAATAGAAATAAACACCCACTGATTGCTAATGCAAACAGGTCAAGTAACATTTTTATATCCCCTCCCTCACCCCTCAAATGACATAAGTGCTTCTGAAACTGTCAGCTTTCCAGACTGCTTTACTAACCCCAAACAGAAATGTGTATACATATGGTAAAGTTCTAAGACATTATGCTGATACCCATTTGTCAAATCAACAGGTAGAAAATTCAAAACCTCCTTTAATAGAATACTATTTACAGTAACATTCCAGGTACGTCTTTTACTGATCAATAACAAATACACTCTTTTCTGCACCACTGGTATATTTTGCTTTAATAGTTAAGCCTCAAAAAAAAAAACAAAAACCCCTACACATCACATTGTCAAAAATCCATCCTTTTTCTTCACTGATACTGTTCCTAAGAAGAGTACAGAAAATATGACACATTATTTTTAAAACCCCTAAAAATATTTGTACAGCTTGTTCAGAAATATACACCAACCATTTGAAACAATTTCAGTGTAAATCTGCCCAGCTCGTTCTGGTCTTCACAGTATAAACAGGGTAAAATAATGCAATGTGCCAAGATTGCTCTTTATGTTTGGTAATCTTTACTTAAAGGAAAATGTTGGTGTTAAGCTTAGCTGGAGCAGTAGGACAGTCAGTCATATTAATAAAACAAACAATTACAAATCACAGCTGTTCATAACCAACTCCTACTCTCAATTCCTCATTAGGTCATGAAAGAAATCTCTGAAACTCAGGGTTTCAGAGAGCTGTTTCGGTTTCAAAGAGCTGTTTCCCAAGGTTCCAACAAGTGAGAACTTTCCGATATTATGATGGGCTCCTCCACAGAGGATAACAGCTATGGATGTAGTCAAGTTAGATTAGATGGTGATCTGATAGAGAAAAAAAAAAAATTCTTCACTTGGGGGATTAGACTGAATTACCTTTCCTATTTCCCATAGTGAGGATCTGTGATAAGGACAGGTCTGAATTATTTGACTAATCTAAGATTATACCTTAGAAAGACCCTACTTAGTCCTGCTCATCACTGATGAGATTAGCTGCATTTGGTACACAAACATACATGCTGACTCATTTTGAAATAACAGCACGTCAATGGGCAAAAAATAAAATCTGGAGGGTTGGTACTATTTGATGCCTCTGATTTGGCCACTGGGTCTCAGATTCAGTTATACATCACAAAGAACTGGGGGGCATATGAAACAGTCAGATTTCTAAGTCCTGACACATGTTTCTTGGATCAGAATCCCAGAGTGGAGCCCAGAAATCTGTTTGCTGAAAAAATTACCAATGTGGCCCAGCAATTGGGTTTCCATGGCTTCTTCTATCACTAAGCAGTGTCTGACTCTTTGCAACTCCACGGGCTGCACCATGCCAGGCTCCCTTATCTGTCACGATCTCCTGGAGTTCGCTCAAATTCACGTCCATTGAACTGGTAATGCTATCTAAACATCTCATCCTCTGACACCCCGTTCTCCTTTGGTGTTCAACCTTTCCCAGCATCAAGGTCCTTTCCAATGAGTTGGCTCTTTGCATCAAGTGGCCAGAGTACTGGGCCTTCAGCTTCAGGGTTAATTTCCCTTAGGATTGACTGGATCGATCTCCTTGAAGTCCAAGGGACTCTCAAGAGTCTTCTCCAGCACCACAGTTAGAAAGCATCAGTTCTTCAGTGCTCAGCCTTCTTTATGGTCCAACTCTCATATCTGTACATGACTACTGGAAAAACCATAGTTTTGACTATACAGAATTACACTGCCAGTTTCTATAAAGCAGTTTAGGGAGTGGAGTGAGTTTTTGTGGTGAATATCTATTTGACTTGGTGATTCTAATCTTAAATGTAGGAATCAGCCAAAATCACACAGAAATGTTCTCCTCCTGACCTCTAAGGCTCTAGCATCCTGAGCCACGCCATACATTTAATAAATAATTAGGGAAACTAGGACTGCGACTCTCTCTGGGGCAATTCTCTCACTTGCCTAAGAAAGGAAATCCACAATTCAATGTGATTTATCAATGGAGGATTTGGTGCCATCATTGCTGCTAATGGGTACTAACAGTCATTCTCACTGCAGTGCTAGGAAGAACTGAACACTCAACCCACTTGAATAACACAGTCCCCACAAGTGGAGTCATAAAGATTCCAATCTAAATCCTGGGCAAACCATACTGGCCTAAAATCTGCATCCTGGATAGGAGGGAGAGATGAAAGTAGAAATAGAAACCTCTTCTGAATCCCAAGTTCATAAACTAAAGAGGAATTCTACTACATTTTTACTTTGCTTTGAAGTAAAAATAATATATTGATTCTTCATTATTATTATTCTTACTCTTAATATTTTCTGCTAAACTTTTTTGAGTGGTTCAATACATCTCATTTCAACCTACTGAGAAGCCTAGTTGAAATTTGGCAAAGCTGGGTTCATGAAGACCTTGCTGCAGAAACAGTCCCACAAATGCCAAAGGGCATGTCCCATGGGACCATCCTACCTCCACCTAGCCAAGTGACATCCCTGGATCAGAGGATAGCCGGGTGCTTATCTGGGGAGCCACACCATGGCCAGACAGACTGCCACCTGGCCATTTTCAGGCACCCACTCCATCAGGCACAAGAGCTGGCAACTTGGAAAGTCAGTGGCAACAAAGCTTGTTTCTTTTGCCCTGCCTCTTGGTCAGTGGGCTTCCTGGGTGGCTCAGATGGTAAAGAATCTGCCTGCAACATGGGAGACCTGGGTTCAATCCCTGGGTTGGGAAGGTCCCCTGGAGAAGGGAATGACTACCCATTCTAGTATTCTTGCTTGGAGAATTCCATGAACAGAGGCTACAGTCCATGGGATCGCAGTCAGACATGACTGAGCAACTAACACTTTCACTTCATGGTAAGTATTCTGTCTTAGGCAAAATGCAAAACTTGGCATATTCTTAAAATTACTCTGAATATTTCTTTTTATCTCAGTTTCAAAAAGAAGCACCTTTTGGATGTGGCTCGGAGAACACAGTAACTCAGTAAGCCGCAATGATCCCATATAAAGGTCAAGGATGCAGGAAAGGCTACACTGGGCAGGGAGGAGTCAGATGGAGGAGAGATGCTACTTCCCAAGGTTTACCTCGGGCAGGTGGTGCTGGGGAGGTGGCTGAGAGAAGGCACAGCCCTGCAGAAGACATCTGCGAAGTTTGTGCCCTGTGATGCGAAGGCGTGAGCCCCAGGCAAATAACGGCAACCCTAACATGGACCAGCCAAGACTTACTTATTTTTCCATCTTTTTGTGAAACACACATTCTGGCCTTCCTATATCCCAGTTATTTTTCTCTTTTAGTCTTGTGGGCTATGTTTTTGTAGTAACACAAATAGAATATTTAGAGCACAAATCAAGGCTTTGAAGCACCCAGGATGGATGCTGTACTGACTTTTCAGCTTACATGAAAACTCGATTCCTCCAGTTTCTGGTGCAGAGAGCTCCTATCACCGAGAAGAGGAGGGGCTGTTGATTAAAGATCTGAAGACTCATTTTCCTGTGGCACTAAGGGCTTCACAGCACACTTGTTCCCAATCACCTTTCTCCACATAGCTCCTTCTCCCGAAAAGACCATCTTTCTTCCTTCCCTCCCCTGGGGCAAGTAAGTCTTACTTATCTTTCTCTCCCAGCTGAAATGCCCCTTCTTCCCAGAAGCCCTCCCAGCTTTCAACAAGATGGATCTGCCTGCTTGGAGTCTCAGCAGCCTCTCATTCGCTGGGGATCATAGCAAACTGTATCACACTTGTCTGTCTTAAGGATCTGTCTCTCAGATACTCAGGAAAGTCTGAGGACAGGAAGCACTTCTGTCTCTCTCATATCCAATTCACTAGTCTGGTACTGGAGTGAAACCAATACTATGTTTCTTGTCTTAGTTTCCAAGTCGTGTCTGACGCTTTTGCAACACCATGGACCGCAGCCCACCAAGCTCCTCTGTCCTTGGGGTTTCCCAGGCAAGGATACTGGGAATGGGTTGCCATTCCCTTCTCCAGGCAATCTTTCTGACCTAGGGATCAAACCCTCGACTCCTGCATTGGCAGGAGGACTCTTTACCACTGAGCCACCAGTGGGCCCAAGCCCATTACTATAGATATCACTGAATCAAAGAGCAGAGTGCACATTTCCTAGGTCTATGAAAACACAGCCATCTCTATCTATCCCCCCAGATAAAATGTTGCAGAGGTAAATACAATGTTTTAAAATCTCCTAAAAGGAGACTTGAATGATAGGATCTCTCACCACCGATGTGCCAGCTCACTGCATTTTCAAACTCTGGCAGATCCTTCTAAAATGTGACTTTCTTGTACGTGCTATCCGTATGCACATGAGCTTGTACAGTATATATTCTCAGGATAATATAGATATTGCCTGTGTATGGACAGGTGTACATGCACGCATGCACACAGACATACACACCAACCACCCCCAGGACACACAGCCATCCTCAATCTACATTGAGCGACTGTCCTGGGGAAGGTCCCCAAAGACAATGGTCAGAAAGTGAGCTCCTAGCTCATAAGGGCTCTCCCATTTCCTGGCTGCTTCTCCACCATCAAATGATGAAAATGAGGTCATTCCAATGGTGTAGGCTTCTCGACCATTGAAATGGAAATGTCCCTTACATAAGACTTTTCCCATTAAGGATAACATCAGTTCTGGACAAGGGAATGGCAACCCACTCCAGTATTTTTGCTTGGAGAATTCCACGGACAGAGGAAGCTGGCAGGCTACAGTCCAGGGGGTCACAAAGCATTGGTGATGACTGAGCGACTTAACACTTTCACTTTCAATTATGAAAGATATTCCTGTATGGGTTGCTACATCCATTCAGCAGTTCCCAATTGGACCGTCTCCAGGATACTCCAGTGGTACCAGTCAGCTCCGACAGCTGCAAGACTGGATCTTTCAGCAAACCCACTGAGAGAGGCTATTTTTAATGTTTCTTCATTAAAAAGAAAAAAAGACGCAGCTTCACAGCTTCACAAAATCAGTCTCTGGATGTGGCAAACTTAAATGGTTTTATTCCTAAAGCCCCAGAGACAGGCTCATCACAGGAATGACGGAAGAAATCTTAAAAATAGCATCACCATTGTACTTTCAGAATAACAAATGATATTCTTCTAATGTCCTTAAACAACTCTGGAAAAAAAATTAAACCATTCCTCCAACTGGCAAAAGTCACAAACAAAATATATATGAAGTATGAATTTAGAAAAGAAAACTTTAAAGGCAGTAGTGCTTTGGACTCAGGATTAAAAGAAAGTTGGCCAAATTTCCATGTCATCTTGTACAATTTCACCCAGAATACATCTGTCATAAGTGAAAGGGATCAGGCACATTTTTCTCTTAATGCACTTGGCTTTGTACATGTAGAAAAAGTCCCTGTAATGGTTTTTCATACCAGGGCAGAAAAAGAGTTAACTTATTTTCCCCCAGCCTGGAGGTCAAACTACTGACATATTATAAGGATTACTTTAAATATCTGAAATTAGAACAGAAAGACAAGGCCCCTAAAGTAGAAGAACTACAGAGTGTAATGAATTTATTTATTTTTTCTTTTTTTCTACTCCTCCAGCATATCACAACACCATCCATTTTGGCTGTGACAAAGAAAATACTGGCATTTTCTTTCCTCAATTCAATCAGCATTCTCCTATTCAGTTAATACAATTCAGTTAACATTGTCAATTAACATAAAACCTACGTAGGCTGCCCAAGGAATCATAAATGATTGTTTTGTGGGGAGGTGGTGGTTCCTATACCCAGGAGACTGGCTTTTGCACCCTCTTCCCTTAGATAAAACCCATTCTTCTTCTTTATTATACCACATGACATATGAAACTTTAGCTTCCTGACCAGGAATGAAACCCACAGCCCCTGCAATGGAAATGCAGAGTCGTAACCACGGGAGCACCTGGGAAGTCCCAAAATGTGTTCCTCTAAGTAACACTCCTGGATACTGGCTTGTCCCAAAAAGTCTGTATAAGGAAACCTGCGATCTCTCTGTGTTTGGGAATGAATTTCTCTCCATTTTGACTTTCACAGTCTGGGGAAGTGAGAAGGAAGCTGAACGTTCCTGGGGGACTGGAAGCCAGGCGGAGTTATTGGATGTGTTCACTTCCTAGGTCCTGATGTCAACATCCAAGTCTCTGGCAGCACCCTGGTGGCTCAGCCGGTAAAGAATCCGCCTGCCATGTGGGAGACCAGGGTTCGATCCCTGGGTTGGGAAGATCCCCTGGGGAAGGGAAAGGCTACCCACTCCAGTATTCTGGCCTGGAGAATTCCATGGAGTGTAGAGTCCATGGGGTCACAAAGAGTCAGACATGACTGAGTGACCTTCACTTTCACTTCTTTCACCTTTCTCACAGCATCTGCTGCTCTGCCCAGAGCACCGCTTTCGTCCAGGGAGAGTCTGATGGCTCCTGCGTTTTCCGAGAGTGCAAGCAGAAAGAGGACTCTTGAGCCACTATGAAATCCCAGTGGGCCATGCGGTAGTCTGCATTCAAATGAAGCCTGGGCATGCGGTGAGAATAAGGAGACACGGGATTTGTAACTTTAACCATAGCCCTGGGAGGCTTGCTACAACACAGACTGCTGGGCCCCAATATGAGAGGATCTGATCCAATAGGTCTCGGTTGGACCCTGAGACTCTGCATTTCTGCTAAATTTCCAGATGTTGCGGCTGGTGTGGGCACTGGTCCTAGATGACCACTGACACAGAAGATGCTTTAGAAGAGTTTGGCAGCTTTTTTTTTTTCTATCAATATGTTTGCATTTTGAAGATGCTGGAGTTCAACCATATAGCCTCTGATTTGAAAAAAATGAATTTTTTAAAAATGTGGACCATTTTTAAAGTCTTTATTGAATTTGCTACGATATTGCTTCTGCTTTGTGCTTTGTTTTTTCTTGGCCATGAGGCATGGTGGGATCTTAGTTCCCTGATCAGGGATCGAACCTCACAGCCCCTGATTTGGAAGGTGAAGTCTTAACCACTGGACCACCAGGGAAATCCCTAACCTCTGATTTTTACTAACACTGTTACTTGTAAGAAAAATCTACTTAAAAATTGGTTTCCTAGAAAAAACTAACTCAGAGCAATGGCAAATTGCAAAATGTGGTTGGGTACACAGACTAATGGATTAAATTTTATTCAAAAGGTTGGTGTATATGAGATTTTCTCCCCTACAACCCAGGAAAATAACTGCACTTTATTAATACAGAATAATCACATATTTACCTGCTCATGAGACTATGAACTCACTTTTTAATATAAAGAACATAATTATCACTGAAAAACAAAAATGTAGCAACAACATTATTTCTTTAAGCATGGGTAGTTTTCTTCTGGAAACTTGATATATAGACATCTATAAAACAGCAATTTTCAAATATCCCCTTATACATTTTAAATTGAATCCAGTGTATTCCCCATCATTTTGGAAACGGGGGTGGGGTGAGGGGGATGGTCCCTAAAGGAATTCCCACGGAAGTGCATTTTCACAACGTGCTGATTAAAACAGTGCAGTTGTTTCCCCATAATTATAACAAGCATTTCAAAACAAAGCTAAACAATTCTAAAGTGAATTAAGTTGCTTACCTTTGAGCCTCGCTCATTAAAAATAATTTCAACATCTAAGATTTTACCAAATTGCTGCAAAAAAATAGAAATAGTTTATAAGCAAGAAGAGAAACAAAGCCAATCAGATTATGCATATGGGTAATTGTTCCCCAAGTCAGAATTTTTCTCTGTTTTAATATCAAGGATATTCATTTGATGTTTTCCTATCATTAAATGATGCACTTGAACCAAGAGAAAATACAACTGCATGTGTTATTTCCATATTATGGCATAACCCATCATATAAGATATCATAATTAGGGACCCAGTACCAAGTATGTAAGCAGGAGGTTAATTCTAGTTTTCTTTCTTGATGTATGATTGATTGCTTTCCAAGGCACTGAGCAGCAGACGTTAAAGACAGCTAGTATGTACAACAGTCCTTCTAGGCTGTGTCACTAGCCATTGGATGAAACATCCTTAGTGAAATGGGATTTTGATAACTTAAAATATCCAACTAGAATGAGATGTTTAGGATTCTGGACCTTGGTTTCATAAAAGCCAGGAGTAGCCAGGCCATATAAGAGAAGCAAAGATAAAAGGAAGATCCATTACACAGACACCCTTTACAAGCAAGAAACCACTGTAGCTGTCTATCCTCAGGCTGAAATGTCTTTCTTGCAAGATGATTCTCCATATTGTTAAACAAACACATAGATTTTAGACGATCAGCATGAATAGACTTTCTGAACAATGCAAGAAACTCAACATATTCAAACCTAGAAACAACATCTCAGATGACAAAGTGATCCCCATAAACTCCAGCTGTTCCATTAAATTTCAGGGTTTTCAGAATCAGTATACCCCACACAATGGAGCTTTCATTGATGGCTCAACCAGTGAAGAATACTCCTGCAGGGCAGGACGCAGATCCAAGTGCAATTCCTGGGTCGGGAAGATGCCTTGGAGAAGGAAGTGGCAACCCAGTCTAGTGTTCTTGGCTGGGAAATCCTGTGGACAGAGGACTATAGCAGACCACAGTCTGTGGGGTCGTCAGAGTTGGATACGACTTAGAGACTAAACCACCACTACCACACAATGTTTGGGCCAAACTCGAATTTACTAAAACACTTGCTATCTGAAATCACATGCAACTGCTGTGTCTTGCATTTTGTAACTTAGTACAACGAGTGACTATTTCCTGTAGTCCTCCTGACAAACACACATTAAGAAATCTGTGATTCACACTTAAAAAAAATGAGAACGAGGACCTTGAACCAGAAGCATTTGATAATCCTAAATCCTGCCCCCTGAGGCTGGAATGCATTTTGTTTTCTTAGATCACATGAGGTTGAGTGGGCATTTTCTGAGCATAGTGTGTTCTATGTAAAGGTAGGTAGGAGAGGGTGGCATAAAAATAAGTGATGAGGCCCAGGGGAAAATCAGAAAGAAATTTTACCCTGATGCAGAATAAGAGCAAATGCCTGTTTCAGGGATTAAAATACATGTAAAGAAATACATAAAATAATATTTCCAGGCTCTTTTTCCCTGATTTGGAACTTTCCTTAAAAAAGCAGAGGCATCACTTAGCCGACAAAGGTCCATATAGTCAAAGCTATATAGCTAGATAGCATCACCAGCTCAATGGACATGAATTTGAGCATGCTCTGGGAAACAGTGAAGGACAGGGGTGCCTGGCGTGCTGCAGTCCACGGGGTCGCAGACAGCTGGACACAACTGAGAGACTGAACAACAGCAACGTCTTTGCTTTTGGCTTTTGCAGCCTGGGTGTTTTTATTACATCTTTTATTACCTTAGGAAATTCTGTATTCTGTCCCTCTCCCCTGGGTGGAAAGCCTTACACAGCTTCTGTGTCGCAGAGGACAGGGTGATGGGGTAGGAGGGGCAGGAGAGAAAGGGAACAAGCAATTAGAACTCAGAGAACCGGGGGCAGCTCGCCTGACCAATGTGCCCCACTCAGAGGATGCTGAGAGGCCCAGACTATAAATGCCAAGAAGATCTTACTGAGATTCAAAAAGAAAAAAGAGAAGAATATACAGATCCTATCCTCTGGAACATACAAATAAATCTATGTTCCCTCAGAAAGAGAAAAACGCAGACTCCAATTGAATATAAATAGCTTAAAACCTTGAAATGAAAGTAGTTCTGACTATGAGAAAAAGAAATCCAAAGCTTAAGTCATCCTGGGCCATAGAAAGTTACCCATCCCTCAGGATATGTACTCAGCCTGGGGATTACAGACTGGAATTTTCCTTACTGAGCTTCTTATTGTGCTTCTCGACTTCAGGGAGAAGGAGAGACAGAAACCAAGAAGAGAAGGCTCAACCAGGAGAGAAGACAGACAGTCTACATGGCTGGCATGCCCTATGGACACACCAGGAAACATGCAACCCACTCACCCTGCAGTTAGTGGATACTTACGAATTCTTTTAGTGAAGACAAGATGGTTCTACTGCTTTTTCCATGCCCTAGATTTGGGCAGAGAAAATTGTTAAAAAGAGAAGATGATTTTCAGATTTGAGAAATGCAAGATATGCGTTGAAAGGTGAAGTGAATTCCATGGTTTAAAAAAAAAAAATCCTCTAGCTATGTGACTATCTCAGAAGCCATCATTCTGATATAATCCCCTTAGGATATTCAGTCCACACAGATGCTACCATGTATATTTTGGGCCTAAGAGAACGGAAGCAAACATATTTATGAATAGAGAAACTTGGAAAGGACTTCCTTTAAAACCAACAAGCAAATGTCATCCACGGAACCTTCTTGAAGCAGTCAACACAAATGCACTTCCTTTAAAGTAAGATCTGGTTGAAGAGATCACTTGGTCTCAGGTGGTGATGAGTGAACTGTGACTTTCTCTGGAATGAGGAGTGATGCATCAAATAGCTAGCATCTTCCATTTGTTGGAGGTTATAGTTCTGCTGAAGAGCTCAAAGATATTGCTATGTGTATGCCTTATGAGGAAACCAAGGCCTGCCCAAGGCTGCACTCATGTTTCCTGACTGCTCCTCCCTTTTCTCGGCCTCCCCTCCCTTCCCTGACGAGCAGCTCTTTGAACCTGCCCATCAGAGATTGGGACACAGAAAGACTTTTGTGCCTAGAAACCTCATGGGGTCCTGCTTCATTTCCGCCATGCTCCTTACACATGGGAAATAGCTACCTCATAACTATATTAAGTCAATGCCAGTAAACGGGGATTGGGAATACATGGATGAGTGGAACAAATATGAGAAAGAAAGAAAGAAAGAAAGAAAGAAAAAATATCTGATTGAGATACAGGTGTGCTCAATTGCTCAGTTGTGTCTGATTCTTGGCGACCCCACGGACAGTAGCCCGCCAGGCTCCTCTGTCCATGGCCTTCTCCAGGCAAGATTCCTGGACTGAGCTGTCAGGCCTCCTCCAAGAGATCTTTCTGATTCAGGGATCGAACCTCAGTCTCCTGTGTCTCCGGCATTGGCCAGTGCATCCTTTAACACTGAGCCACCTGGGAAGCTGCCGGTTGAGACAGCACCAATCAGAGTAATCTTCGCATGTGTCATTCCCTAAACGGAACAATGGCACCAGATGCCCTGAAATGGTCTCCAATGTTGGCAGTTGCCACGGGGTGGAAGTTTCTCAAAGCCAGTGAAACAAGCCGTAAGAAGAATGCTGATGTAAGCCCACTTTCTAAGGCAGTTGTGTACTATATTTATAGTATCAACAGTTTAATTGGGAAGTTTGGTACTAATGATGTAAACACAGCTGGCTCATTTTCAATTTAAATAGACACGACTCATTCGCAGACATAACTAGGATCTATTTGCCCAACACCGGCACTCAGCTGTCTTCAACAGCGTCTCAGTTTCCACCCGAGGGGTCTCGACAGATGCGTCAAGGCTAAAATCTGGGAACTTACAGGCATACACTTGGGCCAAGAGGGACCACCCATGTTTAGACTGTCTCAGATCAAATAATATTTCCCTGAAAACCTCTGAAAGGTGTTCAATGGATACAGTATAAAACATGAAAGGAAGCTTAGTTCAAAGAATGTGCATGGCAGCTAAGGAAAGGCAATATCCTAGTTTTCTTAGGACCAGCTTCAAGTTTCGGATGTGGGAGCAGGAGGAGGCACCAAGCCAGGTCTGAAAATATCTCTGTTTTGTTATTTAAAAAGTAATCACAAAAGCCTCCTCTCCTTCTTCTTCTGTTTTCAATGAAAGTTTCTTCCGCATGTTCTGAAAGCCACATAATCTGTCTGTGGTGACAACAGAGACTTCAGTGGGTCATACTCAGGCCCAGAAGGCCTGCATTTTGATAACGAAAGCACAGCTATCACATGGACAAGGATGAGGTAAAATCTGAACCCAGGACTCCCTGAGTTGCTGTTACTGAAGACAACTCTCGGATAGAATGGCTTGTCTCAGTGGTCTAAATCTAGAACTACCTCTGCATGTGAGCATGCGTACTCAATCGCTTCAGTTATGTCTGACTCTCTTTGACTCCATGGACTGTAGCCTTCCAGGCTCCTCTTGTCCATGAGACTCTCCGGGCAAGAATATTGGAGTGGGTTGCCACACCCTCCTCCAGGAGATCTTCCCAACCCAGGGATTGAACTCGCATCTCCCATGTCTCCTGCGTTGCTGGCGGATTCTTGACCGACTAGCTGCCTAGGAGTCTGTAACTACTTCTCTCACTCCACAAACGCTTACTTTTAAATATTAGGTTCAACTGAGCTTTTTATTCAAGACCAAGGCATTGTGATTAATTTGAAGGCAATCCATACAATGCTTTCATGGGCTCATGAAGAATTCAAATGGAAAGGAAACACATGCTCTATTGCGACCTCTGACATGTTCAAGAAGAAGGTAGCAGAGCCAGAACCCACATCCTTTCCAGTGAAACCTCCAGCACCAAGGCCCCTGATAATATAAGAGATCCATTCATTCACATGCCAACTGATGTTTTAAAAAAGACTCTGGATGCTGGACTTCCCTGGTGGTCCAGTGGTTAAGAATCCACCTGCCAGTGCAGGGGGCATGGGTTTGATCCCTGGTCAGGGAAGATCTCACATGCCATGGGGCAAGTACACCCACGTGCCACAACTACTGAAGCCCACATGCCCTACAGCCTGTGTTCTGCAACAGGAGAGGCCACCACAAGGAGATGCCTCTGCACCATGATAAAGAGTAGCCCCTGGTCGCCATGACTAGAGAAAGCCCACGTGCAACTACGAAGACCTAGAGTAGCCAAAAATAGATAATGAAAAATGCTCTGGCCTCTGCTTTGGACATAGCGGCCACAAAATTTTTTGACAAGGGATGTTCCATCTGAAAGGGAAACCCTAGGAAATCTAAGATGATCTGGATGGTTTCATGCCAAATACTGGAACACATTCATCTGAAAGAGGAGGAAGTAAAGGATATAAAGTGAATTGTGGAAGAAGGAAAACGAGGATTGTGACAAAGAGGCACCAAAGCCACAGATTAAAGTGAAACGTTGAGGCACCTGCAGTAACCGATAGGCATGTAGGGATTGCAAACGTCATGGCTGGATGATGCCTGGATACAGAAGCTGTTCAGAGCTCTGACAGGTGTCAGGGACTTTGGGAAAGAAAGTCTCTTTACTCTTGTGCTGTGGTTTTGGTTTGCAGTCCCCATGGCCATACTGAACAAAAGAGACCAAGAAGAACAATGCCAAAAATCTTTGTGAGAGTTTTTCTCTGCTGTCTCTCCCCTTTTAGCCTCTGCTACAAGGAACCAGGGCAAAATATAGCAAGAAAAGGAGAGAGGACATCTCACATCCCAGTGATGTGGAAAACAACTGATTGGGATTAAAATGCAATTTCTTAGAGTAACTGTGACCTGAAAGAGGAAACCACACTTAATTCTCTCAGCTGGAGAGAGTGGGGAGCCAGTCAGAATGTGTACAGTTGCCTTTTCATGTGATTCATGTCAGTAAATGTAGCACATAATGAGATGGGGGTGGCCAGGAAGAATAGGCTTTGCAGAATTAAAATTCCATGTCTTCAGAATGGTGGTTGTAAACCAAGAAGGCCTCAGAGTTATTGCAGAGTCCAGGAATCTGTAGGTGCTGGATGATTTTTACAGAAGTGTGTGCATGCAAGCATGCTGTCATGTCTGACTCTTTGTGATCCTGTGGACTGTAGCCCACCAGGCTTCTCTGTCCATGGAATTTTCCCAGCAAGAATACTGGAGTGGATGGTCACGAAGCCCACCAAAAAATCTTGCATACTTTTAAAAATGGACATAGAGGCAGCTTGTGATGAACTGAATTAATTTCAGGATGACTGACTGTGTGCTGCATTTTCTGAACAGATAGATGGATCCTAAGTATATCTATCATCTTGTCAAATCGACATCTTGTCAGTTGCTTGAAATATTCTGACTTTTACAAATAGTAGCTCTGAAACTAGTAGATTCTGATCAAGCTTTGACACCTGGTAGCACGACCATTCTTTTGGCAAGAATTTGCTGTGTACCACCTCTCCTGTACCACCCAGTAAGAACAGAGAGGTTCAGATATTCATGCAAGTAGGATCCGTTTTTGGCATCTAGCTCTGAATATTTTGAATACCTTGGCAGTGGAGCCCTCTGGTCACTTTCAAGATAACCAAGAAGACCAGAGACCGTACAGCCCTCCTCGGGGGTGGGACTGGGGTCTACTGCAATGAGTGACACCTGAAAAGAGCACAGGATGGTCATTAAGAGGACCAAATTCCAAGTCAACATCCCAGTGACACTTGATGAGTTAAGACAGATTGAAGAGCGAGATGACTTTTGAACCCGACCTGACAAAAGGGATCTAATTCCTCAGGCTGCCCATCATTCAAACCTGGTCTCCTCACTTCACACACACTTAACCTTGACTTTAACTCTGAATGCTCTGCACTTTTCAAAGTCATCTTTGACCTGAAATTGCCCCAGGGTATCTCTGCTCTGCAAGAGTTAGAGGCTCAACTCAAGGTTATTACCAAATGAGAGACATAAAAGAGCACAAGCTGACCTTTTCCACTGAAATGTCAGGATTCAGGCCTGGGTATCTTAGCTATGAGGACACTTCTTTGGCTTTTGTGTCCGAGGCATACTTGATAAACATCATGCATGCTAAAGAAAACATGCGCGTTCATCCCATCATTGAAGAATGATGACACAGAGCTGGTGTTTTCATATGGAGAATGAGGTCTACCTGGCCCAGACCTAGACTTGGCAAGTTGAGCCTCTTCTTATTCCTTCTGTCATATCTGCATCCATCCAAAAGCTCTTCGAAGGGGACTCTCTGGGCAGCCAACCCTCACTCTAAGTCAAACGTTAAGGATGTAGTTTTGTTCATTGAATCCACATACATTTCCCACCAATGCTGGGCTGACACAGACAAAGGGACTATGACTGTAGTTCCAAAAAAATGAATGATATCCAAGCTCTGTTATAGCTTTGTCCTTTGGTGGAACTGAGCCCAAAGAGATGGCAGGCTCATCCCTTCCCAAGGTGGATGGTGCAAAGGTCATTCCGAAAGAGAATCAGGGTCACAATGTCCCCTGAGCAAGCGACTCTATCATTTCTTTTCTCCGGGTTGCTTCTGCCTTGCTCGCTGTTTGGTCACGGTGCTTGGGCAAGACTGTCATTTTGGCATATAATCTCAGAAGTTAAATCTCTGAACCCTCACCACGGATTCCAGAAGAACGTATATGGCAGGATGCAAGTCAGACTCTGAAATCTGCAGTGGTTTTAACAAGGCTTTATGCAGAACTAATTATTCTCTACAATCACCTCTGAGATCTAGATGCTCAGTACCTGAGAAAGAGCAAGGTCTGCAGAAATATGTCATGAGTCACTCTTCCCAATAATTTGGCAACCGCCATAGAGAGAAAAACCAAGATGACCCATAACAATTTTAGCTGTCACATGGGTCCCCAGGCTCTTGACAGGGGATCAGCAATGAGCTTGTTTCAAGCACCTGGGAGCTTATTTTCCATCTGATATTCAAGTTACAAACTTGAAGAAGTACCATTGGTCCAAGTGCAAACATGGTGAACATAGCAGAGAAATTTATGCTAAAATCATGGTGATCCTGGCCAAAGAACACCCACAGACTGGGATCTAAAATGCCTTCCCCCCACTGCTGCTCACTTTGTATTATGAATACCAAGAAATTACATGAGGAGGGGAGGACTCTGGGGACCCCAGAGCGGGCACTGCAGAGGAGAAGAAAGGCAGTACTTACGCCAAACATTTGTCGGAGGTCCGGATCCCGGAACCGGAAGGGGATGTTGGAGACATGCAGCCTCTTGGGCTGGGACTTGTTTTCCGTGTTTTCCGAAGGCTGTGTCTGGGGCTGGCCATCCGTGGGCGCCGCGTCATCTGTCTGCTAAAAGAACAGGAGCAAAGCAAAGAGGCTTTGAGTGACCTGAACGTGCTTTCCAGTGTTCTTTTCATTAAAAAAAAAAAAAAAAATATGTATATATATATATATATAGGCATATAGTAGCTTTAGTGTTGTGTTAGTTTCCACTGTACAACAAAGTGAATCAGCTACACATATACATATATCCCCACTTTTTAGGATTTCTTTCCCATTTAGGTCACCACAGGGCATTGAGTAGAGTTCCTTGAGCTATACAGTAGGTTCTCATTAGTTATCTAGGTTATGCAGAGCATCAATAGTGTATTATGATGCAGAGCAATCAGTAATGCATATATGTCAATTCCAATCTCCCAATTCACCCCACCCTGCACCACCCCCCTTGGTATCCGCACAGTTTGTTCACTACCTCTGTGTCCCTATTGCTGCTTTGCAAATAGGTTCATCTATACCATATATCCAGTGCGGTTTTGCTTCCTCGAAATGGTAGAAAAATGCCAAAACAAAGGAATAATGCCGGAAGAAACTGCTGAATCATTCATTCATCCAGCAAAGATTTATTGAAAGACCACTGAGTCCCCATCACAGATCCAGGATTCAGCCATGAGCAAAGGAATGGGATTCTTACTATCGGGGATCTAATTCTTATGGGGGAAGAATTAGACAGACAATAACCTCAAGAAATACAGAGCTGGAGGAAGGAGATAAGAGGTGGGGGGTAAAGTAAGGGCAAAGTCTAGCTGGAATTGGGAGGCAGGGAGTTTCAGTAGGTAATTAGAGAAAGCTTCATCTAGAAAGGAGAGTCTTCCCTTCATCCAGGCTGTTGAAAATCTTAAAATATGCCTACCTAATTGCCAAGGCTGCACAGATAAAAACATGAGTAAATCTCATAAAACACCTGAAAAGGCTGTTTGGTATTCTGAAGTCCAAGTAACCATCTGATGGACTTAAATTTTTTCAAGGTTTTAATTTTTCCTTTCTTGATTTTGCAGACCTGTGCTGTTCATGACAGTTGACCCCATGTGGCTCTTTAAACGGAAATGAATTAAAATTAAAATGGGAAATTGAGTCCCTCCCTCACAGTAGCCACATTTTTAAGTGCTCAGAGGCCACACGTGGCTGTGGCTTCCATATTGGACAATGAAGACACAGAGCGTCTATATTAGAAAGTTATATTGGCCAAAGTTGGTGTCGACAATGTTACATTACCAGTATAATTTGTTACTCTGCCTCCCATTCAGTCCCATCCTCCAAGAAAAAGCCTGGATAACATGATATTACAATGATACCCCCACTGAGGCAGGAACCAGGAGAAAAGTCACAGTAACATTTGATTTAATCATCTAGGCCACTTCCATCCGCTCAGTTCAAGAGTTTTAACATTTCAGAGATGCTTCCAGATGCTTTCTCTGCAATTAGCATCTACTGCCTCTAGGTGGCAGTAGACACCATTCACGAGATGTTTGCATCACTAAAATATGATGGAAAACCCATGAAAGGCCATCAAACTTATGAAGGAGAGATCGTCCCCTCGTACTTAGGAGCAATTCAGAAGCATATAACTAGGACAAAACTAATAACATGGACATAATCAGTGACCTTCTCATCCACCCTTGTCCTTATCGACAGGCTTCATTGATACCTCCTTCCTAACACACACTGAATTGTGTTTGTAAGGTAAGACATCCTGGGAGCTGGCGCATTACGCTTCCAAGCTTCTTTGGTATCCAAAGCCCTACCAGATATTTTCTTCAACTTCCAAGGGTTGTGTCAAGAAGACAATGCACTTGGTCATATTCCTAATGCTGCTGGATCTAATAAAGAGGATGGTGATAGTTCTCTACCCTGAAAAATTAGGAGTAACAATGCTGTTTTTCAGTTGCTAAGTCATGTCTGAGTCTTTCTGACCCCATGGACAGCTCCTCTGTCCTCTACTATCTCCCAGAGTTTGTGCAAATTTATATCCATTGAGTTAGATAATAACAATGGTGCATACCGTGTAAGGCTCTGTGACGACCAAACACGGTAACACATGTGCCATCATGGCACAGTTCCCAGCACAAGATACAATCAGTAAGTGGAAAGCAAGGTATTTTTTAGAATGATGGTGTTTTTTACAAAAAATGTCAAAGTGAGAGTGAAAGTGAAAGTCGCTCAGTTGTGTCTGACTCTTTGCGATCCCATGGGATAGTCCATGGAATTCTCCAGGCCAGAATACTGGAGTGGGTAGCCGTTCCCTTCTCCAGGAGATCCTCCCAACCCAGGGATCGAATCCAGGTCTCCCGCATTGCATGCAGATTCTTTACCAGCTGAACCACCAGGGAAGCCCTAAAAATGTCAAAGGAGAGGTGTAAAAAGCCTCATTAAGGAAACACGAAGGAGAGGTTCCCATTTGCTTGATAAACACATCTTTCCTGAGCAACGACTATCCACTAGGCACATAAGTTCATCCTCCAAAGCACACACAGTGTCTAGCTTAATAGAAGAGAAAGAGGCAGAAAAGGCAATGGTTAAACAGACTATTAAGAGGGGTCAGAGTGACCCTCAGGGGGTTGAGTCATTCTAAATCAGGGACACAACGGATGGCTGGTGGTTCCTCAGGCTTGCTGAGTCTGGAGGTTACATTTTTAGTGGGAGACATCTAGGAGAAAAAGTGATGCTGTACCAGTGGAGTGCAAAGTATGTGCCACGATGCAGAGAGGTGAATTCTGGATTTAGGGGACTGAGGCAGGAGACAGCCAGGCTCCAAGCTAGGCATGTACAACTAGCCTCCTTTTTACATTTCCTGAGGAAGGGGGCAGGTGGGCTCCAGGCTAGATATTTACAATCAGCCTCCTGTGTGCACTTTGAAATAGAAAATAACAACAGAAACAGGGTAAAGAGCCAAACTTTGTCTCCTGGGGACATTAACAGCTATGGCAAGGACAGAAAGGGACTAAACCCAATTTGAGTACAAGATCAAGAGGTCATATATTTTCTATCCTTGGGGCAAGGGAGACACTACACATGTCCAGAAAGGCTCCTTGGAGGTAGAAATGGAGGGGGCACCACCCCATAATATGTGATGTCAAGCACCCCCCACCACCCCCACCCCACACTGGCCTCTGGGAAAAATACATCTTGGGAAAACGTTTCACAGGCATATTAGGGAGGGTCCTAGGGCAGGTCAGGAGTGGGAAAAGAAATGAGATGATTGGCCAAAGGTAAACAAAGATCTGGGCTTCTCCAACGGCTCAGCAGTAAAGTATCTGATTGTGATGCAGGGGTTCGATCCCTGGGTTGGGAATATCTCCTGGAGAAGGGCATGGTAACGCACTCCAGTATTCTTGCCTGGAGAATCCCATGGACTCAGGAGCCTGGTGGGCTATCCTCCACAGGGTCACAAAAAGACAGACACGACTGAAGCGACTGAGCAGGCATGTAAACAGAGATCTGGCAGAAACACCCTACATAAATGACCTAACCGCCTCTTTAACGCACTCTTCCTCACCAGGGGGACGCCGACACCCTTCCCCTCTGGGTGTGTGTCTCTGCCTTGCGTCTGTCTCAACAAACTGCTTCTCTCTGTGCTTTCCAGGCTGTTGCGCTGTCTCTAATCATAGATTCTGTACCTCTTTCTACAGTTTTTGCCTCCTTGAGAAATGCATTTTTCAATGGGGCAAGGGCCCGGGGAGTTTTGCTTCTAGCCTCTTGCCCCTGGGGAACGAGTGGGTAGGATTCATGGTTTTCATCCAGGCCACCCAGGGTCAGCTCCTGGGCAGGGCACCCAGATCTCACTTTAACTCACACCTCACTGGCACCCCTTTGAGGTGGGGACTGCAGGCAGACCTCCATGGTACTGGTCGGAGGGAGCGTGCGTGAAGGGAGGGAGGGAGAGGAAGCAGAGGGAGGCGGGGTGGGCCATAAAGAACCCCGAGAGTAGATCCAGAGGATACAGCTTTTCTTTAAGGGCCACAGCAGCGCGGTGACGTGACCAGCGCGAGACACAGGCTGAGCCACGCTAGACAAATGAGACCCGTCTGCCTCCTGGCTGGCTGGCTGACCGACTGAATGGGTGAATGCCTATGAGTAAAGGAAGAAACGAATGAATGAAGGGGTGAGCCATCACCTTTGCTACTCCGGAGTGAGAGGAAGAACCATATTACAACTTTGACACTTATAAACGGGACATTTATAGATTTATTTATAGCTTTTGGCTGCATTGGGTCTTTCTCGGGCTTCCCAGGGGACGCAGTGGTAAAGAATCTGCCTGCCAATGCAGGAGACACAAGAGACGTGGGTTCAATAACCTCGGTCAAGAAGATCCCCTGGAAAAGGACAGAGTAACCCATTCTAATATTCTTGCCTGGAGAATCCCATGGACAGAGGAGCTGTTGACCACCAGGCTCCTCTGTCCCTGGGGTCACAGAGTCAGACGTGACTAAGCGATTGAGCACGCACGCACACACACACGATATGAGGTCTGGAGACACATCCACGAGATGGAAATGACCCTGAGTCATGAGACTGTCGCTTTCTGAGGGGTTGGGGGTCTCACTGCTCAAACACAAGCCTCTTCAGTTTGCAGAAGCAGCAGCCTAGCTCTCAGGCCTTCAGCCCACTTTTCCCCTTCAGTTAGAAGTTGCTGTTCAAATGCAGATGAAAACCTGCTCCTTCTCCTCCCAAGAAGGAAACTTAAGATTTGGATTTGTGTGTAACTGCTGGATGTTTCAGTTTAATAAACCTAATTAGGAATTACAGAGATTACGAATAAACATATTAAATGATTAATAGCATTATGCTGCTCATGTGAAAATTTAAATTAATCATCTTTAGTCAAACAGGACTTTGGAGAAATCTTTGTGTTGTTTCCTTTGATAAAAACACGCAACGCTCAATTGATCACTGTGCACTGGGCACAAATACAAAAATGCTCAGAAATGGCTGCGCCGGCATACCTGTGTGTTAAAAGTAATTTTTAAAGATAACACAGAAAAAAGAAAACACTAAACCAAAAAGTTATTTCA